ACAATGGCTACTAAATCTTGGGCTACCTTTATATATGCAGTGTTGCATGCGTTGCTACTCACTTCAAACAAGTATTTGGTTTCATTGGAGTAGGAATGACTGGAGGGTCGTCTAGAGGAAAGGGTTTAGGCACTGGCAGAGGAGAGGGGGGATGAAGGGAACTCCCATTGTGTGGGAGGGGTCTCTTGGCCCTAATTTCTTTGAGGAAGCAGTGTATCATTTTCCCCCCGAGAACAAGAGTGATTTCACCAAAGAGTGTCCCCTCAGAGGATACGATAACCGAAAAGAAGACTGGCCCAAATGCTTGCATGGTGAGGACTGCTTAGTGCAAATGTTCATTGAGGGGATAGATGGAGGTCGTCGATTCTTCAAATGCCCGCGAGCATGGGTAATTGCTATTACTATTCATTTGTTAAATATGTTTCTCGATTGCACTACAACTTACAAGACATACTTATTGCAGTCTTCCGAGTCCGAAGAAAACTATGGGTTCACTAGGTGGGTCGATCCTAGACCAATTTATCCACATCAACAATACATCTACTACCTGTAGGACTGTATCTTCGATCTAGAAAGGGAAGTTAGCAGCGGTTACAAGGAAGACGAAGACGACGACAACAACAATGGTGTAGGTTCACAGGAGGCACTCTGCAATGATCCATATTGCACCTGCCCTAATCACAAAAACAAGGGGCCTCCACCTTCACCCCCGCCACCATCACCACCAACAATGGGAGGCTACTGTGGAGAAGGTGCAACATAATTTACTATGTGGCCACACTACTAGGATGAACCTATTTTATTCACATGCGACATCCATGTGTTTGTTGTTTGCTTCAATTATCTAAGGCATGTTAGGTTTAGTCGAAAGACCTATGTACCCTTGTTTGATACATGTTCTCACATGCCATTTCGTGTGCTTGTTGTTCGCTTCAATTGTCTGAGGCATGTTAGGTTTAGTCTAGGACCTCTGTACCCTAGTTTGGTACACGTTCTCATATGCCATTTCATATGTTGTGCGTGTTGAATTATATAATGTACTACTTCATTATGTTTTATTTGCACTACGTGAACTCGTTTCACTACCTCTGTAATATTAAACTGAATATTATGACCACAAATAATGAAACCAACAACACTATGAAAAGTCCAATACTAGGGCACATTAAACAACAAAATAACAATAGAAGTACATGCCAATGAACTAAATAACGCAGAACATGCCCTAAGTATGTCCATACTTAAAGTACATTACATGACAACACAATGCAAAGTCCAAGACTAGACAACATTGTAAAATAAACCATAGAACTAGCAAGTCATGCAGACTACTAAGTGCAACGAGGCCACTTTCTCTTACTCAGGGCATCGGGATTCTCCTCCATCGCTGCCTTCTCTCGACGTGCACGCTCAAGCTTCTTCTCCCTCTCATCCCTGTACGCAGCAACACACCTCCTTTCCTTCTCTTCTTTGTGCTTCTTTTCTGTAACCTCCTCTCTGCGTCTCTTCTCCATCATCTCCTTGTCCTCTGCCTCCCATCGCAATAATTTCTGCATCCATTCCTTGTCTTTCGATTTGATCTCAGTGTCAATCCATTGCTCAAAATCATAGAGCGGTGGAGGGGTCTGCAACAAATGTAATTGTTATAAAACAAATAAATCATGCAAGACTTCATTTGACACAAAATAATTATTACACAACATCAATTTCTTACCATCTTGTTAATGCGGGCTAACGAAGTATAGGCTCAAACGCAAAATTGGCACACATCTATTACCTCTGCCTATACGTGTCCTCTTTATCGGACTTGGCTACCTTGCAAGGATCACCGCACCAGCACATGGGCACTGGAACACCACTAGGCAGAGGCAATGGGTCGTAGGCATTTCTGGTCATCCGACCATAACTACAATTCAACCAATTTTGTTCTAAGAACCGAAAGCAAGAACATTAAACCCTAAACCTAGGGTTTTCCATTTGATGCACAACAATGAACGCATAATATCTCAAGAGGCGCTGAGGTTACCTTGGTTTGCTAGCTTTTCCACGCCATGGCATCCTACGGTTGTATAATACATACAAATATTAAAAAGTGCATTAAACCCTAAGTAATGACGATTTTTAGATTGAAAAATACGACTAATATATATCGAATCGATGCGAAAAAACTAGGAGGGGAAAGATGATACCTTAGTCTCAAAGATCTACAGATCAAATCCAACTTTCAACGGTCCAATACGCCGATTCGTGAGGTAGGACGAAGTGGGGAGAGAAAAAACCCGAGAGGGAGGAGGAAGAAAAGGAAGAAGTCTCGGACAGGAAGGGTGGAGTCTGGTTTAAAACACCACCACGACGCCATAGATCTTGGTGCCAAGGTCGGCGCCAATGACCTTGGCGCCATGCTCGGCACCAAAAAATATGGCGCCACGGTGGTAGCCATGTCAACGTCACGTCTGCGTCGATGCCTAAGTCAGCCAAGGACCTTGGCGTCAAAGGTTCTGGCGCCGAGATGTGTAATCTCGGCGCCAATTACAATGGCGCTAAGCTGAGGGTCTACATTTTGAAAGCATACTTCTCGGGGCAGATTTGTGAAAATCTTTCAGAAAAAGAGCAAAAAAAAAACAAAAAATTCGGCTCATACTGCTACTTAGGGATTTTTCCTCGCATAAATTAAATGAGAGCTCAGAGGAAGGATGAAAAAAAAAGATGAAAATGAGTTTTACGGCGGTCGGGAAAAATACAAACCATCTAATAGGAGAGATCGATAAGTGAAAAAAAGGGTACTGAAAAATACTAAAAAGTACCAAATAGTTAAAAACAGCATCAAAATACGTGAGATCAGTACCTAAATTTTCACATTATTTTTCTATTTTTCGTTTAAAAATAATGGGTAACTAGGCACACCTTGGACCGTAAGATTCTAGTGCATCGCAGTTGCAGGAACTCCTCCAGTGGCACAAACATGACGTGATCAAGCTCTCAACCTCTGCGGCCGCGTCTGTTTCGCTTTACGCGCAGGTGGCCGATGGGGACCCCCGGTGGTGACGCGAGGCGCCGGCGAATTCCAGGTGGCCGGTGGGGCCCTCAGGTCACACACGCGAAACCCGGCTCAGGAGGCAGGAGCATAGCGCCGTGGTGGAGTTCGCCGGCACCCAGGACCCAGCGTGCAAGCGCACCGGACTACCGGAGCATGGACCGCGAGAAGCCGCAAAGGCGAGAAGAGACGCTGTCGAGACTCGAGAGATGCACGGGAGGCAGCGCGAGCACGGTGCACAGGAAGCAGCAACGCCGAGGCGTTAAAAGGGGACGAGGAAGAAGAAATATACGAGCCAACGGACGAGGCGGGGGAACGCCGACGAGTGAGGGAGCCGGCGGTGCAGGAGCGCGGCGTGACGCGTGAGCATCGGCAAGCGTGAGCGTGACAGCCGAGGATTCGAGTGCTAGCAGTAGCAGGCTGGAGTGGGGACTACCAGAAGGCGACGAGGGCTACGGGAGTGAAGGTTCGCGTTCACGTTTGACTCTGTTCCAACTGCAGCGCCGCCATTCACCACCGCTGCAGCGCCGCGCCGCTTCCGCACCGGCATCAACAAGCTCTGCGGACGGGCTGCAACGACCTTGGCATGGAGGCTGGACTGCTGGAGTGGACCTCCGCCGGCGAGAGCTCAGGCAGAGCAATTATCCAACCACCGTAACAAATCTCGTTCGGATGAAACTAGCCCAGTATTATGCGGAAACAAAATCTAAACTGTTAGAACAAAATCCAGTATTTTTATTTCTATATCCGGACTGTTAAATAACTGTCTATCCAACAACCGAGCGTTTTTAAAGTTCTAGGCACCTAATTTTTCTCTATGCATTTACATTATCTTATAACTGTATATTTACAATGATTCTTTCGCTATAATATTGAACAGAGTAATGTAATTTAAAAATAAGGCAACTTATATTTTTATGGATTGTAGATCTCAGAGAAATATATGTTAAATTTTTCAAAACTTATAAATTATTTGTACGAATTGCAGATAGCAGAGAAATATATGTCAAATTGTCGACAAATATCAGATGTTAGAGAAAGCCGAACCACAGCCGTAGCCCGACGTCGAGCGCAGCAGCGGCGGCTGCTGGACCTGGCCGCGGAGCTCGAGGAGGAGCGTCGCTTCCGCCGGTAGCTGCGAGCCCATCCCCGCGCAGCAGCAGGTCACCGCCGTCTCCTCCCCGGCCAGCTGCGCACCACCGCCGTCGCCCCTGCAGCCGCTTGCCGCCACGCAACAGACGTGAGGGCCGCCTCCACCGCACCGCGACCCCGCACGGAGCGTGCGTCGTCGCCCAGCAGTCGCACGCGTCCTCGCTAGGAGCGCCGCCTCCGCCGCCGCGCCGTGACCCCGACCCCACGGCTGTCAGGAATCGTGTATTCCGTATTCGCATGTTGAGAGCGTGCCTCACAATCGAGCGTTGGTTAGGATTTCTCTTAAATAATTTTTTTTGAAGTTTGGAACCTTCTTTTTTAGTTAAAAAAATGTTAATGTTTTAGCTACCGAAATTTCAAGTAAGCCACCACGTTAATCAACAATAGACATTATTCTATTATAAAAATGATATAACACTATTGCAGTAATCATGTTATCATTCATCCGAACAAAATTGCCTTGGTCCTCTCTATTTGCCAATAAGTCGCCGCCGGGCTGATACAGACCAAATGAGTAAGCGAGCACTCATGTAGTCATGTTAGGCCAACTCCTCTACTTTGCCAGGTTGGTAGGTGCATCAAACCGCCTCCAAACCTCAAGACAACGCTTCAAAACTCAAGAACTGATCACCATCCCGAACCTCCAAACCTGCCCATGCGGATCGAGTCAAGACCTGACAAACTACTAGAAGCACCGGCTGACCGGCAAATCGTCCGCTGCTAATAAGAGGCCACCTTTCTCGACCGCCTACCTCCTCGTGACACAGAGAGCCTCGCCCTCGCGTTTCGTTTGAGAAGAAGAACTGAACGATCGATGGCTTGGGCGAGGAAGCCGCTGGCAGCTGCCCTGGCCGTGGCGCTGCTCCTGGGTCTGTGCCGCGGCGACGTGGTGCAGTTCATCTTCGGCGACTCACTGTCCGACGTGGGCAACAACAACTACCTGAAGAAGAGCCTCGCCCGCGCCGCGCTCCCGTGGTATGGCATCGACTTCGGCCGCGGCATGCCCAACGGCAGGTTCTGCAACGGCCGCACCGTCGCCGACATCGTGGGCGACAAGATGGGCCTGCCGCGGCCGCCCGCGTTCCTGGACCCGTCGCTGGACGCCGACACCATCTTCAAGAACGGCGTCAACTACGCCTCCGGCGGCGGCGGCATCCTCAACGAGACGTCGTCCCTCTTTGTAAGCTACTCATAACTGTTGCTACTTACTACGTATGAAGCAGCAGACTTGTATTAGCAGCGTAATACTGAGCCCTTGTTTATTTCTTTCTCCAAAAATTTACACCATATGTATTGAATGTTGGACTTAAAAAATAATTAATTACACAAAGTGTCATTACTTTACCAGACGAATCTTTTAAGCCTAATTAGTCCATTATTTAACAATGTGGTGCCACAGTAACACATGTGCTAATGACGAGTTAATTAGACTTAGTAAATTCGTCTCGTGTTTTATTGACGGATTGTGTAATTTATTTATTTTTATTAATATCTAAACCCCAATGCAACACCCCATATAACATCCGTTGTGACACTCATAAACTTTACACCCTAATTTAAACGAGGCCTAACTAAACTAATCCTGCTGCTTCTCCTGAAATGGCATGCATTCAGATCCAGAGGTTCTCGCTGTACAAGCAGATCGAGCTGTTCCAGGGCACGCAGGCGTTCATGCGCGACAAGATCGGCAAGGCGGCGGCCGACAAGTTCTTTGGCGAGGGGTTCTACGTGGTGGCCATGGGCGCCAACGACTTCATCAACAACTACCTCCTGCCCGTCTACTCCGACTCGTGGACCTACACCGGCGACACCTTCGTCAAGTACATGGTCAGCACTCTGGAGGCGCAGCTGAAGCTGCTGCACGCGCTGGGCGCCCGGCGGCTGACCTTCTTCGGCCTGGGCCCGATGGGGTGCATCCCGCTGCAGCGGTACCTGACGTCCTCCGGCGGGTGCCAGGAGTCCACCAACAAGCTGGCGCGGAGCTTCAACACGCAGGCGGCCGCGCTGCTGGAGCGGCTGTCGGCGTCGCTGCCCAACGCCACGTTCCGGTTCGGCGAGGCGTACGACTACTTCCAGGACATCATCGACCGGCCCTACATGTACGGGTTCAACAACTCGCGGGCGCCGTGCTGCACGCTGGGCCGGATCAGGCCGACGCTCACCTGCACGCCGCTGTCCACGCTGTGCAAGGACCGCAGCGAGTACGTGTTCTGGGACGAGTACCACCCCACGGACAGGGCCAACGAGCTCATCGCGCTCGAGACGCTCAGGAAGCTCAACATCACCGTCGTCAACAACGGCACATCCGGCTAGCCGATGGACGAACGAATGGTAGAATACAGTTCCAGGGTTTTTTCGTCTATAATGTAACTGAAGAAAGCAAAGTCACTGCAAGGGAAGAATACCCAATTATATATCTATGGGAACTACTACGTCCGGACGCTACGTCCGCGGCTGCTGACTTGCTGCGCTGCTCGCCCACCTGCCCACTCGCCTGCCTGCTCGCCCACGCCGCTCCGTGGGGACCACCCTCACCCGCCTCGCTTCCCGTACGCACGTGGGGACCACTTGCGCCTGAGCCTGCTTCCCTTGCTCGCTCGCAACATGTGCAACATTTTGATCTACTTTTACAATATCTAGCTGAAACAAATGCAACATACGTCAAAAATAGCTAAAACACTTGCAACATGCGTCTGAAACACTTACAAAAACACCTGAAAACACTTGAAAATCATTGCAAAAATACGTAACATCCAGATAAAAACGATTGCAACATATGTGTGAAACATCTGCAACATCCAGATAAACACACTTGCAACATACGTCTGAAAAAACAGATGAAATACCCCTGTTCGCTTCGCTGAAAAGTAAGTTGAAAAGTATTGTTCACTGATTTGTTGACACGGTACCATGGCTGGTAAGAAAGTTCAAGCGAACAGGGAAGTTGGGAACAAACATTTACAACATACGTGTGCAGCCACTGCAATATATGCAACATCCAGATCTACTTTTACAACATCCATATCAAACACTTGAAACATATATCAGAAACAACTGAAACTATTAAAATATAGGCTTGCAACATGTCTAAAAACACCTGAAACACCTAAATACAGCGTCGCCGGTGGCCATGGCCTCTACCTGGTGGAAACTGCAGTAGCCAACAAGCTCAGATAGGACGTCGAGAACAATGGCCCAGCGTATACCTCCGCTGCCGGACCTCCCTTCCTGTCGTGGTGTCTTCGGCTGGTCGCAGGAGACGACGTCTAGGCCGTCGACGACCTCCTACTGGTGGTGTTGGGTCGGTGGTGTCCCGGTGATGCCATGGCCGCGACCGGCGAGATGGAGTGGGGCGCGGCAGGGGATGGAGCACGGCGCGGCGAGAGACGGGGCGGGGTTGGGGGAAGGGGGCACGACGGGATGGAATTGGGCGAGCGGATGCGCCGGCGCTTGGTTTGTAGCGTTTCTGTATATGTATAGGAATGTAATCACTATGTCAACCGGTCGGAGTGTGGCCATGAGTGCCTGCAACACTAGCTTTATGTTGCTATATTACTTTTATTCATACTAGCAAACACGTCTGTGCAATGCAGCATGACATAGAGTATGTTACGCGATGTTTAGGCTAATGATAATGATCTATTTTTTTTAATTTAATCGGGTCTTTTCCAATCTTAAATCAAATATAAATTCTATGGCAATAATAAATGCTAATGTAATAAAGGATAAATCCTATATAGGAAATTATACTAAACTTAAATAGATGACTATAAAGGTGAAAGGCGAGCCCCACACCCACACGCGCACCATAAACGGGCTTGGTTGATCAGGTCAAGAGATGAGTGGCACAACATCAATGAAGGTTTTGCGGCTCCAATCTCAAAATGTGAAGGGTGAGAGTGAGAGAAACGAATGGGGAAGAGGTGACATATGGAACAAAAGAAATTTTACTCTTTAATATATAGATAATGAGTGGTGCGACACAAACAAATTTTTTGCAATTTTAAACTCAAGGCAAGGCACGTAGGATAAAAGTGAGGGACGACGAACCGTGAGTTAGGCATGGACAAGGAGGAGAGTGAGAGACGGAAGAAAAAAGATTTTTTTCGTTTCTTTAATATTTTGTAGAGATATAGTGAGTATATTTTTTGTTCATAGAAAGTTACGAATAAGTCGAATGTGCACATGTTTATCATGAACCTGATGGAACAACCGTGAGCATTTACCATGTATTTGCTATACGTGTCCATGTGTATACATCCAACGCATGAGGTTGTCGCTTAAATTTAGAAGAAACTGTTGAAAAAACAACTCCTCTCGTATAGGTTAGATGCATCTACACAAACACCTATCACGAATTCACGACGGTAGGTGTCCACACCTCTACGGTTGCTCTATGGAAACCATTTTGATTGAATTTTTTCGGAGCCGGTTCGCAGTAAGCCCCGCCACACCACCAGTCCACCACTACCAGGCACCAGAGCTGACGTGAGCTAGCTCCCCACGAAGGACAGCTAGCGACCAGCGTGCTACGGCACGGAGGGGTACCGGCTGGTTGCTCGTGTCACGCAGTTACGCAAACGCGTTGGTGGTGCCCTCCAAAACGCATTCTCCCACCGCTGTGTGTGCCGTGGAGATCTCATCGGACTTGCCCTCATCACGGATGTGAAATTTTTGCATTTTGGTCCCTTTTTAAAACATTTTTATAAAAAAACTCCTGCCAAAACTTTTGCTACAAATAGACCATTTTTAAGCGTCTTAGAAAATCACGCCGAGGTATGAAGGTCGGCGTCGACTGACACGACGCCGAGTCCTTGCCACGTCACCGACGACTCCGGGGTTGGCGCATGGGGCCCAGTACATCGGCGTCGTGTCAGCCAACGCCACAGGCCTAAATTCGGCGCTGTGGGGAGTCACGTCGAGCTCTTGGCACCATCCGGCGCGTGGCTCAGGCGGCCCAACAACGCTTCGTGGGCCAAGAGGTCGGCGTGCGATCAGATGACGCCGAGACGCTAACCTCGGTGCGGCCCGACTCAACGCCGAGGTTCGGTCAGTTGAGGCCACGCCGCAGCCCCCTTCATCCTCCTCCCTCCATTCAGAACCAACAGGTGGGCATTTCCCACTCTCTCTCTCTTCCCACGAACCCTAAATCCTAAATCCAGCTTTTGGGAGGCCAGATCGAGGGTTTTGACGTTTTGTCAAGGTACTCCTCTTTCTCCTCTTTCATTTCATCCATTTAGATTCGGTTGTTTGTGTTTTTTTTGAACTTGGCATTATAGGTTTGGTTCATGTTCATGTCATTCGTGCAATGTATGGTGGTTCAAATGATTGAATGACCCAAATGTATGGTTGTTGTTGTTGTTGTATATGTTCTAGTTTATAATCATTGAGTTAAATTTTGTGTTTGTTGGGATTCAAATTTGCTTAGGGTTTGTAATGAAAAGTTTATTTGGGAGGTATGGTGATTTAGTGTTAGTAGCTTTACATTCGTTGCAAGGTACATTGGATTGATTTTTTTCTACATAATGTTAGGATGCCAAGGCGTGGTAAAGCTCGTATTCCAAGGTAATCCCAATGTTTATTTATTATTTGTGCAACAAATAGAAAACCCTAGGTTTAGGTTTGGTTCTCCGTTAATATGACTAAATTCTTTCAATTGTAGCTATGGTCGCCAGAGGGCAAATCCCTACGACCTAAAGCCTCTCCCTGAAGGTGTTCCTCGACCCATATGCTTTTGTGGTGATCCTTGCAAGGTAGACATCTCTGAAGATGAGGAAACATATAGACAGAGGTACTGGATGTGTCCCAATTATGCATGGGAACCTACAAAGCAACAGCGCCGTGCATCGATTGTGAGGAATTTTTATTGTGTGTTAATTAATTTTCTTGTGATATTAAGTATTGCTTATTTATTTGTTTTGTAACAATTTGTTTTTCTTGTAGACCGTTCCACCACTGTGTGACTTTGAGCAGTGGATTGACACTAAGATCAAGGAGTCGGACAAGCAAAATCTAGAAGGCCTGAAGGAGTGGGATGCGGAGGTTAAGGAGATGTTTGAGCAGAGACGCAGATAGGAGGCTATAAAAAAGGAGCATAAGGAAGAGGAGGAAAGGAGGCATGTTGCTGCGTACAGGGCGGAGAGAGAGAAGAAGCTTGAGCGTGTGCGCCGAGCGAAGGCAGCGATGGAGGAGAATCCTGATGCCCAGAGGAAGGGAAAGTGGCCTCGTTGCACTCAGTAGGTATTTGGTTTATTCATGAGCGATGTCGTGTAGCCCTGGACTTTTTTTACTATGTTGTAATGCACTCTGCTTTTATTTCAGATGAACTTATTCTCTGGACTTTTTTTATTATGTTGTAATGCACTATGCTTTTATTTCAGATGGTCTTATGCCCTGTACTTCGTTAACTATCCTAGGACTGTAGTGCTACTGGTTGTATCACTGAAAAGGCTACTTGTGCTGTTGCAGTCACTAAAAGGGCTACAAGTACTGTTGTAGTCAATGAAAAGTCTATTTGAAAACTCACAGAAAAGCCTAAATTCGTTTACTGTTGTATCCGTATACGCAATGAATTAATATCAGAGTGATGTACTGCATTTAGATGAAGTGACAAAACACAGGTGTAGCCTTTTCAGATGAAATGACCAGTCATGGTTGTAGGCTTTTCAGATGAAGCATCTAGCCTTTGCAGATTCAATAAATGAGTACGCACACAAGTTTTTTGTCAAGTAGCATTCATGGTGAACCTGCCTTCATCTCTATATATAGTGCTCCATGTCTTGCTCCACATCCACACAACTTGTTTTCTGGTTTAGTTTTAGCAAATGTCGAGCGGAGGTTCCTCGAGTGGAAAGGGTTTCGGCGGAGGGAGAGGAAAGGGGGTGAGGAAGGGACCTCCGATTGTGTGGGAGGGTTCTCTGGGTCCTGATTCTTTTGAAGAACCAATAGAGGAATTTCCTTTGGAGAGGAAGAGTAACTTGACCCGTGAGGGACCTCTTAGATCATACGACAAGCGCATTGAAGATTGGCCAAAATGCCACCACGGTTTGGATTGCGTTGTGCAGATGTACAACGACTGTGACGGTGGAGGCCGTCGTTTCTTCAGATGCCCGTGAGGATTTGTATTTCCTTTGAACTCTCTCCTTTTTTAGATTTGCATTTGGTTTGTAGTAGTACTTATTGGTAGATGGGTTTTTAGGATTCAAGCTGTCCAGATAACTGTGGCTTCACTAGATGGGTTCACCCTCCTCCTATCTATCACCATCAACAGTACATCACATATCTACAGGGACGCATCTTTGACCTAGAGTATG